TCTATCTATCTATCTATCTATCTATCTATCTATCTATCTATCTATCTGTACATATCTATCTGTCTGTCTGTCTGTCTGTCCATCTGTCCATTTGTCTGTCTGTCATATCTGAATAATAGCAGCTCGGGTTTGTAGGTGGGCTGCTGATTTGAACTCCAAGCTCGGCAATTTGGTTGCAAACATTTCATTACCATTCGAGGAGACATCGTCAAACACAATTCAAAGCCCACTGACGATGTCTCCAATGGTGACAAAACATTTGCAACCAAATTGCCAAGCTCAGAGCTCAAACCAGTAGTCAGTCAGTCAGTCAGTCAGTCAGTCAGTCAGTCAGTCTGTCTGTCTGTCTGTCTGTCTGTCTGTCTGTCTGTCTACCTCTACCTCTACCTCTACCTCTACCTCTACCTCTACCTCTACCTCTACCTCTACCTCTATCATCTCTATATATCTATCCCCCCTTCCTCTTCCTCCTTCTATCTCTCAACCTCTCTATCTACCTATCTCCCTACCTACCGGCTTTTGAACGGAAGGTGTTTTGGGGAACAAAAAGACCCCAAAAGAGAAGAAAAAGACTAAAACATCTCCCCACCAACTATCAATACCGGGATGAGCATAGATGAACTCCAAGATTTACCTCAAACCAACAATCAAAAAGTAAACAATAACCCCAATTAAGGAACTGTCAAACAAGCTAACAGTAAACAGCCCAACCGAAGAACCTCCAAGACCATTCCCATCAACACTGACAGGACAATCCACTGGAATATAAATTTAGAGCAATCCTCACTCCTTACTAGCACTGATGATGGTGTAGTTTTGAGAACGAAACATCTGTAAGAAAACAACCAAGCACAGAGAACACGAAGGACCCCTCACCCATCCCCCCAACCTCTCGTGACTCTGGGCAGTTTATAGCTGTTCTGTACAAAGAATTAACATACTTGCAAACCCCGCGTTGCGATTGGCTAAAGCGCGCGGCAACCGGATTGGTCGGGCAAGCCGCCCGGATTGGTCCGTTAAGAATCTCCCGCTATTGGTTGAGCCAAGAGCGGGAGATTCGAAACGATGTCATTGGCTGCGGGCCGCCGCGGCTCGGAAATAAAAAGCCGGGGTTTTTCCTTCCTTTCTCAAGCATGTACTGGAGCACAATAAAGAGCTGAACTTTGTCACTGACTCCGAGCTTCCTTCCTGCGCCAGACACGACAATAGCATTAAAATATAAAATAACCCGTAGAATGGGCAAAATAAGGTATAGTTTTCAGATTCTTGAGAGCTAAATTGCCATGCCTGAAATATTCTTTAATCAAAGTTTTGTGTCCTTTTCTCTGAGGGTGGTAGGAAAATGCAGCATTGAAGGAGATAAAAAGTGGTTTTAAAAATGCCGAAGAAACTTGACACTGGGTATAGGCCAAATGCAGAAATTTTACTCGAATCTTAATTTCTCGCCCTAATCCAAAACCACACGGTTAATGTAACAGAGATCACATTTCAGTACAGATGGTTGAAATACCAAGTTATAAATAACTCCAGTATTGACCATATCCTAGTTAATATATTAAGCACTCAGCAATGTACTGTAGATGCAAATATATTGTTGAGGTAATTCCCCGTTAGGAGAATGAGCGCATACAGGGAGACGTATAGAGAGTAGTGTTGGAATAATACACACAGAGCACACAGATACACTGTACAGTAAATGTAGGTTTTTACTTCCAGAAAGGTTTAAGTGAAGTTCAAAATAAGCAGTCCAAAAATCATTCACAGGTAAATCAGTCAGTTTTTCAATCCAGGGATAATCCAAATATCAAATTCCAGTGTCAAAAACAGTTCAGTATCAGACTTACATTAAATCCAGTAATATCAGTCAATTAGAAGAAATGGAGCAACGGCAATACTTTCCAACAGAAGGAAACAGACTCACACTCTCTTCTGAGACTCAGACTAGACAACCCAGGTTTCTGGCTCCATCTTATGGCCGTTTGAAAAACCACACCCAATTGCATGCTCTTGCATTCCCTTAAAGATATAGTACTAAAATGTTTATCCTGGTTTATATATTTCTAACCCAAATACCTGTTAGGTGACTCATATTCCTAACATATATCAAAAGAGAATAAGAAAATGAGTATCATGCAGATTGTGATAATCTGAACTAATAAACTGAGTGAATACCACTCCGAGCAGCTATGTCAGTGTGGGAAGCCGACTCCTCCTAAAGAATGAATATTTTGAGAAATATTAAGAGCAGGGGTGGGATTCAAATTTCTTAACAACTGGTTCTGTGGGTGTGGCCTAATTTGTGGGTGTGGCTTGGTGGTCACGTGATGCCGGGCGTGGCTTGTATATAAATATTGTAAATATGTATGTAAGTATTTAATTTTTTATTAAAAAAAGAGCAACTTTTACCCAAAATCAGGCAGAGCAGGCAGGCAGATTGAGTTGCTCACAAAATCACAGATTCACTTAGAGATCTATCTATCTGCAATCTGCTACCTGAGTCTGTCACATAAAATTTGCTTGCAAGCAAACTCACAAAATTAACTCACAACACACCATGTATCACCAAACTTGATTGCAGGAAATACGACTTCAGCAACAGAGTGGTCAATGTCTGGAATACTCTACCTGACTCTGTGGTTTCTTCCCCAAACCCCAAAAACTTTAACCTTAGACTGTCTACTATTGACCTCACCCCTTTCCTAAGAGGTCTGTAGGGGGCGTGCATAAGCGCACCAACGTGCCTACCATCCCTGTCCTATTGTTTCTTTTTTTTCTTATATGTATCCATGTATTCATAACTATGGTTTTACTTATACCCGTTATCTTGTAAGCAATTGACAAAAATAAATAAATAAATGAAAAAATAAAGTAGGTAAATATTGATTTTTTTCTTTTTAAAAAAGAGCAACTTTTACCCAAAATAAGGCAAAGCAGGCAGGCAAATTGAGTTGCTCACATAATCACAGATTCACTTAGAGATTTAGCTATCTGCAATCTGCTATCTGAGTCTGCACTGAAAAATAGAAGCTTCAGTCCTAAGGAAGGTTCAGCTCTGCTTTTAGATTAGCTAGAAAGCAAGAAATTCAGTGATTTCCTGCTTTCTAGCTAATCTAAATCTCCTGGCACAGCAGAACAGCTGATGGTGGGGGGGAAAAGGAAAAATAGCAATTTAGCAGGCAAGTTTGATGGTGCCCATGCTAGGTAGGGAGTGAGTGGGTGGGGCGGGGAGGCACAGCGCCAGCCAGTGGCATGATTTGCCAGTTTTCTGAACTGGGCAGAATCATAACAACCAGTTCTATACAACCGGTCCAACCAGGTAGAATCCTACCCCAATTAAGAGTCAGAATATTATATTTCCCCAAAGGAGAAATGGAGAAACGTATTCATAGAGGCAGAAAGCAGCCCCCAGTCTTTCTTGATAGCCTCCAGCAAATGCCTGAAGTCTTTAGAGGTGGATATTTTGTGTCCATTAAGAAAGACTGGGCCAATCTATTCACAAACAAAACACCTTCAGCTCCAGCTGATGGGATTAAGAAGGACAGGACAGGATCTTTTAGGACATAATAGGATTAACCCAGAGGTGGTATTCAGTAGGTTCTGACCAGTTCTGGAGAACCAGTAGCAGAAATTCTGAGCAGTTTGGAGAACCGGCAAATGCTACCTCTATTCTCTGCCTCCCGAATCCCACTGATTGGCTGGGTCTTCTTTTGTTGCCCTGCCACAGGAGAACGGAGCTGGAAAGCAGGTTAATGGGGTGAGGAGGAAATGGGGATTTTGCAGTATCCTTCCCCTGCCACACCCACTAAGCCACACCCACCAAGCCACGCTATGCCCACAGAAGCTACCGAGAGTCACTTCAGATAGTAAGATGGTGACATATAAATTTAATAATAGATAAATGAATGAATTAGATACTTTCTTTGTTTTATCTCTAATCTTTTCTAGATAACCAGAATTTTACCTCTTGTTCATCAAGGTATCCCTGCCTCTTGCCCTTCTCAATGCAACTTCAAAGTTAAAGTATCTAGAATGCATGTGGCCCCCAATGTCAAGTTAAAGTACAACAGATGAACAGCGAATTGCATAAATCACCCTCTGGGTGAAGCCCGTAGCCTGCAATGTATTGCTTGTTCTCCCTGTGTTATGAAATGTTTGGTAATTTATGGCAATGTTTGCCAGTTTACAATGTTTACACCTCGAGTACTGCATCCAGTTTTGTTCACCACATTATAAAAAAGATGTTGAGACTCTAGAAAAAGTGCAGAGAAGAGCAACCAGGATGATTAGGGGACTGGAGACTAAAACATATGAAGAACGGTTACAAGAACTGGGCTAGTCTAGTCTAGTGAAGAGAAGGACCAGGGGAGACATGATAGCAGTCTTCCAATATTTGAGGGGCTGCCACAGGGAGGAAGGGGTCAAGCTATTTTCTAAAGCACCTGAAGGCCAGACAAGGAATAATGGATGGAAAGTGAACAAGGAGAGATTTAACCTGGAAATAAGGAGAAACTTTCTGACAGTGAGAACAATCAACCAATGGAACAGCTTTGCCTTCAGAAGTTGTGGGAGCGCCATCACTTGAGACCTTCAAGAAGAGATTGGACTGCCATCTGTCAGAAATGGTGTAGGGTCTCCTGCTTGGGCCTATAAGGTCCCTTCCATCTCTGATTATCTGTTATCTGTTATCCGTTGAGCATTGCCAACATGATTGTTATCCTATTATAGATAATTTCCAACCTGGTTGCCGATCATTTCTGTGGTATCAGGAATTTTGGGCACAAACCTACACGTCCTTAATATCCCTGCCTCTTCTGTATGTTATCACATGAGCCCTAAGTGCTGTGATTCGATTTAAGCCCTTTTAATTTGTATATTAAACAACTAGCTCAATACCCGTGCTTCGCTACGAAACTATGTGATCGGGCTTAGTTTTTTGGGAGGAAAATAAGGAAAAAAAGTTCTGCTTGTGCCTACCAGCGTCCATTGGTATTCATCTGGCTAGCGTCCTGTCAGTGTGTGAGAGAGTTGAGGCCTGTTTGGAAACTGAAACAGTATTTGCTGTGTGAGCAAGAAGGAGACAGCAAGGAGCCTGGGTGTGGCTTAGCTCAACTGTAGTTGGAATAGATTTATTTTCAGGTGGGGAGTGATACTTGAGGGCTGTTTGGACACTGAAATACTATTTGCTTTGTGAGCAAGGAGACAGCAAAGAGCCTGGGCGTGGCTTAGCTCAACTGCAGTTGGAAGAGATTTCTTTTCAGGTGGGGAGGGGGATTAGAACTCCTTAGCATCAGAGCCTGTTAATAATAATAACATAGGAAATACTAATGCTCTGATGGTCATTTCGAAAAATCCTTTCTTAGTGAGCACCTAGAAGGCAAGAGGAATATACGTGGCAAATTTCAAGTTTGTCGGCTTTATGGTTCTGGAGATTTTGTGATGATGCGTGAGTGGCATTTTGCTTTTATATATGTAGTTTGGGGGTGTTTGCTGCAGATGCTCTGACACTCACAAATTATATATGCAGACAATCCTCAACTTATAACAGTTCATTTAGTGATTGTTCAAAGTTACGGCATTGAAAAAAGTGACCTATGACTATTTTTCACAGTTATGAACTTTGCAGCATCCCCATGGTCACATGATCAAAATTCAGATGCTTGGCAACTGGTTCATATTTATGACCTGTCATGCCCTTGTTAGAGTCAGACTCTGAGGGAGAGGAGGAACAGCCGACAGGGAGTGGAGGTGTGGCTCCGGAGGTTGTGGAGGAGGCTGGGGAAGGACAGAATCTGGCTGGGCAGTCAGAGGAAGAACCAGGCCCATCCCCTCTTCATCCTAGGACATGCAGGGAGGAACGGAGAAAGAAACAACTTGGCTTACAAGAGAGGAAGCGGCCATGATCCCCTCATTGGTTGCAGCTGGAGAGACTAGTATATAAGAGAGATGGTTAAAACACAATGTTGCCAGAAGCAAAGCAAAGTTATCTTGGTTGGCGTCCTTCCAACAGACTGTGCCTTGTTATCTCCTTGAAGTTGGTAATTACTAATCCTGGTCCATTGTGAAAATTCCTTCATTGTAGTTTGTTTTAGTTTTTTATTTCACCTCTATCTGCTCATTAAGTTTGGACTGTATTGCTTTCTTTTGAAGACTATTTTTGAATAAGTTTTATCTCCAACTGAGAATTATTGAACAGTGGGGCCAAGTTGGAGGCATTAAAGGACATTTATTTACGTTTTGGCTTTTGTTATGTTTGTGTTACACTCTGGGTCATCACATGACTGTTGCTGTGTCCCAAGGACAGGTGATCTCCTTTTGCGACCTTTTGACTAGCAAAGTCAATGGAGGCTTAACAACTGGGTTACTAACTTATCAACTGCAGTGAAACATTTAACATCCATGACAAGAAAGGTCATAAAATGGGGCAAAACTCACTTAACAAATATCTCGCTTAACTACAGAAATTTTGGGCTCAATTGTGGTCGTAAACTGAAGACTACCCGTATTGTCAATTTCTGCGGTATAGCAAAAATTGGTAATTTTTAAAATGCCGTCTTCCTCAACCTACTTACTGGTGCAGATTGGGAATTCTGGGATCTGTTATCCCAAGTTCAGGTAGTCCTTGAGCCCAAAATTTCTGTTGCTAAGTGAGACACTTGTTAAGTGAGTTTTTCCCCCTTTTACAATCTCTCTTGCCCCAGTTGTTAAGTGAATCACTGCAGTTGTTAAGCTTAGTAGCATGATTGTTAAGTAAATCTGGCTTCCCTATTAACTTTGTCAAAAGTTTGCAAAAGTTTGATCACATGACCCCAGGACGCTGCAATCCACCCTAACTATGAGTCAATTGCCAAGCATCCAAATTTTGATCATGTGACCACAGGGATGCTGCAATGGTCATCAATGTGAGAACTGGTTGCAAGTCACTTTTTTCACTGCCGTCGTAACTTGGAACAGTCCCTGAACAAACTGTTGTGAGTCGAGGACTACCTGCACTTTGGAGGTTGCCAGATGAAGGCGACCTTAAAAAACATCGCTTGATTCTGAAAAAGGCAACTTCAAAAATTCAGGTCTGTCAGAACTCACAAGGCTGGTGTGGGAGGCTGTGTGTTGTAATCCACAGTGAAACTGTTCATGTTGCCATTCTCATCACTGATCAGGACTTCTGCTAAAGGAGAACAGCAGCTGGACCTAGAGAGGAGATAAACATAGAAGATGGCTAAGCAGGTGATGGTAAATGGACAGTCCTTAAGAGCTTTCTGAAAGGCTGGTAGAATCAGAAGGTGATGACATTCCAAACATGCAACCCAAAAAGACACATTTTCTGGGTCTTCCTAGAACAGGGGTCACCAACCTTTTGGACCTCAGGGACCACCAAACTTATAATTTTAAACCCCGCGGACCACTAATATGAATTTTGACTGACGGTGGCTTGCTGACGTTGGTGGGAAAGTCGGTCCCATATTCTAGAGCTGCAGTAGTCACAGGACTGGCGCTTTGGTCATCCCGGAGCAGCTGCTCTTCCACCCGGTTGCACCGGCCTGCCATGGACTGGAGGAGCTGCTCTGGGATGACCAAAGGGCCAGTCTTGTGACTATTGCAGCTCTGGAATATGGGATCGACTTCCCCACCAATGTCAGCAAGCCACCCCGGGGTGGATTTCTCTCCTCCGCCGCTGGTCTTAACTTCCAGTTCCAGCTCGCGTGGCTCTACTCAAGGTAAGGTTTGCACTCGGCTGAAGGGTGGGGGCCAGCGGGTGGGCAGGCCATGTGGGTGGCGCAGCCTTGTGTTCCGGCGCAGCCTTGTGTTCCTGCACAGCCTGGATTAATTGCTTTGGGGGGAGTGCTTTGGGGGGGACATTTCTCTGAGGACCACCAAAATTTTCTCACGGACCACCAGTGATCCCTGGCCCATCGGTTGGCAACCACTGTCCTAGATGATATTTTTATTGATGGGAACTGAAGTGTGTTCCTCTTGTTGGACCTGATGAAGCACATAGAAGCAGGTGGGGAAACACGGTCCTCCAGATGTATTGGCCCCAAGCTATAAAGGTCAAGGGTGGGATCCTGCCGGTTTGGAGCGGTTTGTGCGAATCCCTAGCTCCGGTGATCAGCTGGCTCCAAACTGGTTTGCTCCAACGATCATGTGGGCCCGCCCACTCGCCCGCCCCTGCGCTGTACTTACCTATATCTGCTCAACGGATTCGCGTGGCAGAGCTGAATTGCCGCACCTCAACTGTGTTACTTCCCCAAAGTAACATCGAAGATAAGTAATTTTGAAAGCTGTGCATGGACATGCAGCGCGCGCAGCTCACGATTAGCGAACCAATTGTTACACTGGCAGCATCCCACCACTGATGAAAGTAGTAGGAGATAACCAGAATCTTGAATTCCACTCAGAAGCATATGGATTATGGAAGCCAGGGAAACTTGCCGAAAAAAGGGTGCAACACGAACATAACATGATGGGAGGGGTCCTTGGTGTGCTCTCTGAGCTTGTTTGTTTTCTTGCAGATGTTTTTAAACAGTTAAAATCGTACTCCTGCTGTTCCCTCCCTGCCTCCCCAAAGTACATATAGTACATGATTAATATATAAGGCATTTCATAGGTGGCTTACTTGTTTCTTTCTGTGTGGAAAGGCGAAACGTGTACAAGAAAAGCAGGGATGGGATTCTACTGGTTTGGACCGGTTTGGGCGAACCGGATGTTAAGTTTTCATCTGGTTCGCCAAACTGGTATTTTTCAACTGACCGGCTGGCCTTGCCCACCCCGCCCCACCCTCCCAGGAATCTCCATGTAATGCAGGTAAGTGCAAGGTCCACATGGAGGCTCTGGGAGGGGAAAAAAATGGGCCTTCCGGAAATCTGGAAACAGGCCTGTTTCTGGCTTCCGGGGGCCCTCCAGAGCCCGGGGGAGGCCATTTTCACCCTCCCAGAGGCCTGAGGGAAGCCTCCGGACTCTGGGGAAGGCGAAAAACAGCCCTCCAGGAAGTTCCAGTAGGCCACACCCACCATGGTCACGCCCACCCAGCAACCGGGCAGCGAACCAGCTGCTGGAATTTTTGAATCCCACCCCTGAAGAAAAGCCATGTTTGAAATGGGCCTCAGAAATGGCCCTGAACTGAGAAATTTCAAATATGTTGTACATAAGCTCTATAGCTATACTAGACACATAGACAGACAGCAGCTTAGGTAGCTTAGGTTATAAACCAACAAGATAAATAGAAAAGATAAATATATCAATCTTTCACTGCAGCAGGCAGTGGTCCCATCGTGCTTTAAGATGGCCATTATTTTGCCAGTGCCAAAAAAAAGTCTACAATTATGGGTCTCGATGATTACCGTCCAGTTGCACTTACATCCATCATTATGAAATGTTTTGAGAGGCTGATGAAGGACTTTATGGTATCCAGCCTCCCTCCAGCATTTGACTCGCTTCAGTTTGCTTACTGTCCAAATCGCTCTACGGGGGATGCTATTTCTTCTGTAATCCATCTGAGCTTGCCGCACTGAAAGAAGCAACTGTGTGCGAATGCTGTTTGTCGACTTCAGTTTGGCATTGAATATAATCATTCCTCGGCATCTAGGAGACAAACTGAGCCTTTTATAGGCTTTAATACCCCTTTGGGCAACTGGATTCTTGATTTTCTTATTGACAGGCCCCAGTCAGGGGTGTGATTCAACCAGTATAACAACTGGCTTGGTGAGCATGTGCTTTGCGCACGCACATCCTTCGTGTTTAAGAAAGCTATTACTTACCTTCAATTGCAGCTGAAGAAAACAGCTGAGGCACGGCAGACCACTCTGCCGTGTGAATCCGTTGTGCTCTGTCAAAAAGACATAAAGCACAGGGAAAAGCAGGGGCGGGCAGGCAGGCCTACTGTTAGGAATATAAGTCACCTAACAGGTATTTGGGTTAGAAATATATAAACCAGGATAAATATTTTAGTACTATGTCTTTAAGAGATTGCAAAAACTGCAATTGGGTGTGGTTTTTCAAACAGCCATAAGATGGAGCCAGAAACCTGGATTAGTCTTAGTCTTAGTCTCAGAAGAGAGTGTGTCTGAGTGAGTATCTCTGTTTCCTTCTGTTGGAAAGTATTGCCGTTGCTCCATTTCTTCTAATTGACTGATATTACTGGATTTAATGTAAGTCTGATACTGAACTGTTTTTGACACTGGAATTTATTATTGGATTATCCCTGGATTGAAAACTGACTGAATTTACCTGTGAATGACTTTTGGACTGCTTATTTTGGACTTCACTTAAACCTTTCTGGAAGTAAAAACCTACATTTACTGTACAGTGTATCTGTGTGCTGTGTGTGTATTATTCCAACACTACTCTCTATACGTCTCCCTGTATGCACTCATTCTCCTAATGGGGAATTACCTCAACACCCACATGGCTTATCGGAGTGAACTGGTTTGGAGCCACCTGATCGTTGGAACAAGGGGTTCTCCTGAACCAGTATGAACCAGAAGAATCCCACCCCTGGCCCCAGTATGTGCGAGTTGGGATTAAACTTTCTAAACACCATTTTCTTGAGCACAGGTTCTCCCCAGGGCTGTGTCCTAAGCCCGCTGTTGAACTTGTTGACCTGCGACTGTTGTGCTAGGTTTGCTACCAACCATATTGTGAAGTATGCAGATGGTACGATAATAGTGGGCCTTATTCAAGATGAAATGATGGTGCTTACTACAAGGAGGTAGATGGTTGAGTGAACCGGTGTAACAAAAGACAGCCTCGTTTGAAACGTAGGAAAAACTAAAAGGGATCATTGCCGATTTCAGAAAAGGCAGCCACAGCCGCACACTTCTGTATATTAATGATTCACCTGTGAAGGTAGTTAGCAGCGCCAGGTTTCTGGGTGTGCAGCTGAGTAAGCTAGCTTGGTGGCTCAACAGTGAGATGCTGGGGAAGTGGGCACAGCAGCGCCTGCATTTTCTGCATCGCATGAGAAAAATACATCTTCCTTCCACTGTCCTTACCACTTCCTGTTGAGGGACAATCGAGAGGATCCTGTCCTATTGCATGACAGTCTGGTTTGGAAGCATTACTGCTTTGGACAGGAAGGCGGTGCAGAGAGTGGTGAGGATGGCAGAAAAGATTATTGACAGGTCACTGCCTTCTATCCAGGACATGGCGAATAAGTGATGCTTGAGCAGAGTCCGCAAAATTGTCCGGGACGCTACACGTCCTCTTCACAACCTGTTTTCCTTGTTAACTTTTGGGGAGAAGGCTCCGTGGTATCTGAAGCAGACCATCCAGATTCAGCCAGAGTTTCGTTTCATATAGCACCAACCTTGCTTAGAGAGGGCTGGAAAGCACTGTGAAGCGATATATACGTCCAAGTGCTATTGCTATATAGCATGTGCATATGTTTGTTATGTATGGGTAGATATATATACTTTCTTTTGCGAGCAGGCAACAGAATTTCATTTTTAATGTGGGCCAGTGTGCTCACAGTAAGAAATGATAGTAAAGGTTACCTTATCTTACTACTGATGATGTGAGCAAAACTAAGAAAACACATATGGTTCTTGACTTACAACTGTCATTGAGCCTGGCAATTGCGATTGTAAGCCGGTCACCCAATGAATGGACCTGATTTTGCAATTTTTTTTCATGGCTGTTATGAAGCAAGTCCCCCCACTGTTTGCTATCGGATGGTTTTTGCCGGAAACCAGGAAATAAAGACCTGTTTTGGGCGCCATATTGATAAATTGCAGTCACATGACTGTGGGGTGTTGCAAACAGCCGTAAGTACAGGGGTCGCCGAGTGCTTAAAATGTAGTCACGTGACCATGGGGTGGGCAAGGTCAGAACTTCAAAACCAAGCTATAAGTAGTCTTTTTTTTTTGGGGGGGGGGGGGGGGGGGGGGGTTGTAATTTTGAACAGTTGTAAGCTGAGAACAACCTGTATATAAAGCGGGAACCTAAACACTCCAGAGCAAAAGAACCAGCTCTTTGTACGGAGAAAGAGACGTAGCAATCCTTCTCCCACGGTTTGATGGATCAACCCAACCTTTACAGGTTTTCTGAAAATCAGAAGGGAGAGACCATTCGAACATCTGGAGGGGGGATACTGGGAGGGGAAACATCTGGAGCAGCCACTGAAAAGCAGTGGTGGTATTCTACTGGTTCGGTTGAACCGGTAGTAAAAAAAAAAAAAAGCTATTGGTTTGTATTTCTTTTTTTTTTCCTACCAACGACCGGCTGTTCCAAGGATCACCTGCGCCAGGATCCCCCTCACTGTCTTACTGCTTCTCCCAGGAGGCTTTTCTGAGGCCCAGGAGGCAAAAAAAGGGGCACAGCCCCCCGCCCCATGCTCCGTTTTTTGCCTCCTGGGCCTCAGGGAAGCCTCCCGGGAGCAAAAACGTGGTTTTACCAGCAGGCCTGGGGAACCCAAAGTGTGATGGAGCCCATAAAATGGCTGATTTAATCATGTGCTGAGGCAGGAGCTGGGTGGGTGGTAGGTTATTGTTTTATTTTAATCTTTTTTCTATTTTTTTCTATTTTTATTTTTTTCCTATTTTGTGTTTTTTTTTACTGTTTGTGAGCAAGTAGCCGGCTATATAAATGTCATAAATAAATAAATAAACAAACAAATAAATAAATATTACTCTGGAGAGCAGCTGGTTGACAACTGTACATTCTGTACTACAGTTGTTCAGAAAACAGAGATACCCACTTGTAATCACAGATGAGCTTCTTATTGCTACCTTCCTCTTCTGAATGACAAGATAAAGCGCTGGGATCTGGGCTGATCTGGACACTAACAGCAGCTTCAGCACCCTCAGCAGAAAATGTCATGTTCCAGATGTGTTGAGAGCAGTCAGGTCTTTGCCAGCTGTCAGCTCCACAAGGCATGTAGAATTGAAGAAGGTGATAGACTGGTGGGTTTTCTTTAGTTTCCTGGAGGAAGAGCGCATATCTATTAATCCTCCTGGTGACTAGACATTTAGATACAGATTAACAGAGTTGGAAGAGACCTTGTAGGTCATCTAGTCCAACCCCTCCGCCCAAGCAGACCTTACACCTTATGTGACAGATGGCAGTCCAGTGTCTTCTTGAAAACTTCCAGTGATGAAGCTCCCACAACGTCTGGAGGCAACTGTTCCATTGGTTGATTGTTTTCAATGTCAGAAAATTTCTCATTTCCAGGTTGAATCTCTCCTTCCACCCATTATTCCTTGTCTGGCCTTCAGGTGCTTTAGAAAATAGCTTGACCCCCTTCCTCTCTGTGGCAGCCCCTCAGATATTGGAAGACTGCTAACATGTCTCCCCTGGTCCTTCTCTTCACTAGACAAGCCAAGCCCAGTTCCTGCAACCCTTGATCGTATGTTTTAGCCTCCAGTCCCCTAATCATCCTGGTTGCTCTTCTCTGCACTCTTTCTAGAGTTTCAACATTTTTTTTATAGTGTAGTAACCAAAACTGGGTGCAGTACCCTAGGTGTGGTCTTATTAAGGCTTTATAGAGTGGTATTTGTGCATAATTGAGCAGTAAAGCAAAAACAGTAAAGAAACAGCCAAGCCTCCTACAACTGGTCCCAATCCATTGGGCTCACAACCTCTGGTGATCACAGAAAAAGAAGTCCAAGATCTATTCCACAGACAAAAGCTAGGAAAAGCACCAGGGCCAGACAAGATAACTCCTTCTTGCTTAAAAGTCTGTGCTGACCAATTGGCCCCCATCTTCACCCGAATCTTCAATAGATCACTAGAGATGTGCTATGTTCCTTCTTGCTTCAAACACTCTACTATCATCCCAGTGCCAAAGAAGCCCTCCATCAAGGAACTGAATGACTACAGACCAGTTGCTCTAACATGTGTAGTTATGAAAATCTTTGAAAGGCTTGTGCTGTCCCACCTGAAAACCATCACAGATCTGCTGTTAGATCCCATGCAGTTTGCATACCGAGCAAATAGATCGACAGATGATGCTGTTAACATGGCTCTGCATTACATCCTACACCTTGAATCTCCAAATACCTACACGAGGGTCCTCTTTGTAGACTTCAGTTCAGCATTCAATACCATCATTCCAGACACTCTTTTAATTAAATTAAACCAACTAGCGGTACCTGAACACACTTGTAAGTGGATCATAAGCTTCCTAACAGACAGGAAGCAGCAGGTGAAGCTAGGCAGAATCACATCTGATACCTGTACCATTAGCACAGCAGCTCCCCAAGGCTATGTGATTTCTCCACTTCTCTTCTCTCTCTATACCCTATATTCCCTTGCTGGCTTGGGAATTCTAGGAGTTGAACATCAAACATCCTAGTTACCAAGTTTGAGAAACATTTGGCTAGACAGAGAAAGATTTTCTTACTGTTTTCCCCTTAAATCAAGCAAACCAGAAAGAGCAGGAACACGGGGTTGGACTTTGAGCCATTGTCCGCAAGTTGAGAAACCTTCTGCCCAATCTTTTGGTTTAAATTTAGCTAATTTGAGACAAAGTGGCTCCATTTTAATCAGTGCTTGTATTTTTTCTTGTTTTTCGGAGGAGCAACAGTTGTTTCTCCTAAGACAGGTTTGTCAAACTGGCAGCCCGCGGGCCGGATGCGTCACATGCAGGCCATGCCCACCCCAGCTCCACAAAGCGATACATCAAGTGACAGCAACATGATGCTGTGAGTTTGACACCAGTGTCCTAAGATATTGGTCTGGATCAGTGATCCCCAACCTTTTTTACGCCGCGGCCCGGTACCGGCATCAGCTGGGCGCCGCCATCTTTTTTTGATGAAAACGTGCTTCCGGTGAGCTTTCTACCCGGAAAAGCTCACCGGAAGCACTTTTTCATGAAAAAAAAGATGGCGGCGCCCAGCAAGCCGCGGCCCGGTGTCCGCGGACCGGTGGTTGGGGACCCCTGGTCTGGATCATGACAAGGCAGAGAACCAAAACCAGAGCTGCCAAACCAAGTAAAAAAACAAACAAACAAAGATTGCAGATTACGATGCTCTCCTTGGCTGAGGGATTGAAGTCCGCGTATCTTGAAGTTGATAAGGTCAAGAAAGACTGAAACGTAGAACCAGTGGTGGGATTCAAATTTTTTTACTACCGGTTTTGTGGGTGTGGCTTGGTTGATGTGGCAGGGGAAGGATACTGTAAAATCTGCAGTCAGAGGTGGCATTTGCTGGTTCTCCGAACTACTCAAAATTTCTGCTACTGGTTCTCCAGAACTGGTCAGAACCTGCTGAATACCCACCTCTGTGTAGAACACACAAACAAATTTGCAGAAGTTTAGCAGTAATTTGGGAACCGTGAGAGAAAAGGAGACTCACCGAGGCTGTTTTGGGAACGACAGTGATGAGCAGAGTCAGGTAGTTTTGTGATGAACTGGTTTTCGCTGTAAATGTCGCAAGACTGAAAGAAAAGTTAGTGGTGATTGTTAAGAATGGAGGCATTTCTTTGGAAGGGTGATATGAAAAGCCCCCCCCCCCCAACACACAGGGGTCCCCAACCCTTGGGCCGCAGCCTGGTACTGGGCTGTGGCCTGTTTGGAACTGGGTCACCCAAACCGCGGACAAGTGCACACATGCAGCTCAGTGGTGGTATTGAATTTTTTTTACTACCAGTTCTGTGGGCATGGCTTGGTGGGTGTGGCATGGCTTGGTGGGAGTGGCAGGGGAAGGATACTGCAAAATCCCCATTCCCTCCCCACCCAATAACCTGCTTTCCAGCTCCGTTCTCCTGTGCAGGGCAACAAAAGCAGACCCAGCCAATCAGCTGGGACTCGGGAGGCGGAGAATAGATGGGGGCGGGGCCAATCAGAGGCGGTATTTGCCGGTTCTTCAAACTACTCAAAATTTCCACTACCGGTTCTCCATAATCTCTCAGAACTGGTTGAATACCATCTCTGATGCAGCTCCATTTGTGTGAGTGGTGGGCACTCATGCACACCCATGAAACTCCAGCACAAATGGACCTTCGCTTGTGCATGCAAATGCCCACTGCTCATGCACATTGAGCTGACCATGCGAGCATGCCTGCCTGCCACCTGCATGGGTCCATTTCCTCTCCCCCGCTTCCCTGGCTGGTTCTGCAGAACCAAAATGGTTGGAGATCACTGCTTTAGACAACTCAGCACTTATATTGCTAGTTAGGACTGGCTCTGACCCAGAGATGGTATTCAGCAGGTTCTGACCAGTTCTGGAGAACTGTTAGCAGAAATTTTGAGTAATTCGGAGAACTGGCAAATCCCACCTCTGACTGGCCCCACCCCCATCTATGCTCTGCCTCCCGAGTCCCAGCTGATTGGCTGGGTCTTCTTTTGTTGCCCTACACAGGAGAACGGAGCTGGAAAGCAGGTTAGTGGGGTGGGGAGGGAATGGGGATTTTACAGTATCCTTCCCCTGCCACGCCCACCAAGCCACGCCCACCGAACCAGTAGTAAAAAAATTTGAATCCCACCACTGCTCTGACCCCATTTCAAATTTAAAATAATTCAAAGAAGTCAAGAAAGTTATAAAACGTGGCTTTCAGAGTTTCTCTCTCTGAGATTAAGTATTGGAACTGCAATCCTATCTGCTTCAAGATTCCCTCTAAGGAATCTTTCCTTTTAATCCAAGTCAAACTGTAGGTAAATGTTGGAATAAATGGAAGGTTGCCTCAAGATGGCATGAATGCTTGAGGCAGAAATTGGTTTTCTAATGACTGGGTTTGTGTATCGCAATAAACCATAATGCAATTGCTTGGGTGCACTGTCCAAAACCAGCCATAATGGTTTAAAAACTGGATTTAGTAGAAGGAGGAGAAAGCTACTTTAATACCAATACTGGCAGGCCTTGACTTATGACCAGAATTGAGCCCCAAATTTCTCTTGCTAAGGGAGACAGTTACATGAATTTTGTCCCATTTTATGATCTTTCTTGCCACAGTTATTAAATGAATCACTGCAGTTGTTAAATTAGCAACTTGATATCAGACCTGCCCTAATTTAGACATTTTGGAAAAAAAGACCCTCCATTTGATTGAAGTGATAGGTTCTGTGATGACCCGGGGCGTGGCACAAAGGCAACACAGATAACTAGTAGGAGTCCCTTTATTAGCTCCAACTTTGCCTCCAGTGTCCTGGTTACCTTCTGGCTGGAGAAAAACTCCCAGGAACAGCCTTTGGCTGCAGAGAATGAAGTCCAAAACATGGTCAACAAAAACTGTCACTATAAGTCCAATCAAGGCAAAATGAGATAATTAATCTGGCAGGGCAGGAGTAAGAAGTCCAGACATGAAGGCATGGCAATAACTCAACATGGTTGGGAAGACACCAGGAACACAGATATCCAAAGTCAATACAAGATAAACTCATGTTTGCTCCCAGCAGCTGCCACACTCAGCATGCATTTCTTTAAAACTCTCTTCCCAGCTGTGGCTAATGAAGGGAATCAGGGCCCTTTCCTCCCCCAAAAGCCACACAACCCATGTTGCTCTCTTCTCCATTCCTCCCTGCATGCCCTAGGATGAAGAGTGGGATGGGCCTGGGTCTTCCTCTGGAATCCCTCTCCCTTGTTCTACCTCTTCCCTGCTCTGCCCAGCCGGACTTTGCCCTTCCCCAGCCTCCCCCACCGCCAACGGAGCCACACTCCCACTCCCTGTCAGCTGTTCATCTTCCTTCTCAGATTCAGACTCCGACAGGTCCTTTAACTAAAGCTAAGTGGTTGCAGAGAAAGTAAAGCTAGATCTGAACATTCCTGCAGAAAGATTACACTTTTCCCCCTTTCCCTGGCCCTCCCCCCTTGACTAGTCCATCACTGTCCAATAGGATGTCTTTTGGATGTTTTGGGAATGACTCAGAGTGTGGCGTTGCTCATTGCATTTTTGCATTTGGTTTCCAGCCCAGGTGTCCTTGGAGACTGGTTTATTCCTATTTGGTACCTCTGGTTCCCATTAACATCCCTCCTGCCGTTTGTCTTCTCCTTCCCCTATTACTGCCCAAATTTCTCCCCCCACTCCCTTGCAATTGATGGCAGGATGCCAGCAAAGTGAAGAAGCTGAAGATGCCGGACCTGACACACGATATCCCAAATGTTGGTACTGCTATCTTACCTTGAGGCAAAATTGGAGCTATTGACAGGTGCCACAAACGTTGCCACGAGAACAGCGCTCTCTCCTTTCTTCAAGAAACGTTGTGCTGGTCTAAAGCTCTGTGTGAGACGCAGGTCATCTCGGACATTAAAGGTGAATGTTGCAGCTGCTGATCCATCATTCACCACCTGGACAGAGACCTCTAGGCTCCCACCGGGCAACAACGTACCTTGGAAATACAATAGGGCACACTGAAGATGGGGATAACTTGCGCGATTAAAGGTGACTGAGTTGTCATATAATGGAAGTCCTCACCATTTGGGACTGATGGCTCCATTGAACTTTCTGAGAACCATGGTGGCGCAGTGGTTAGAATGCAGTATTGCAGACTAACTCTGCCTACTGCCAAGAGTTCGATCCTGACCGGCGCAAGGTTGACTCAGCCCTCCATCTTTACGAGGCCAGTAAAATGAGGACCCAGATTCTTGGGGACAATATGCTGATTCTGTAAACCACTCAGAGAGGGTTGTAAAGTACTTGTCATGCCCCTGTTGGAATCTGATTCCGAGGGGGAGGTGGAACAGCTGACAGGGAGTGGGAGTGTGGCTTCGGTGGCTGTGGAGGAAACTAGGGAAGAGCACAGTCCGGCTGGGCATTTAGAGGAAGACCCAGGCCCACCCCCTCTTCATCCTAGGGCAAGCAGGGAGAAACAGATAAAGGAGCAAAGTGGATTACAGGGGAGAAAAAGGCCTTGATTCCCTTCATTGGCTGCAGCTGGGAAAAGAGGATATAAAGGGTGTTTGTGCACAGCACCATGCTGGAAGCAAAGCGTGCATTATCATTGTTTGTCAAGTCTTATCTGGGTTCTGGCACCCTCCCAACTGTGTGTTTCATTATCTTTTGAAGTCTGCAATTGCTTATCCTGCCCTGTCTCGTTAATTGCTGCAGCGTGGTTTGTGTTGGTTTTTATTTATAATTTATATGTACTTTGGGTTCGGACTGAATTTGTTCCCTTTAAAAACTGTTCTTGGGAGAGGTTTTTTTTCTCCAGCCGATGATAACTGGACATTGGGGGGCCAAGTTGGAGGAATTAAAGGGACTTTACCTACTTTTGTGACTTGGTTGCTTTTGTGCCACGCCCTGGGTTATCACAGCACTGTGAAGCAGTGTATAAGTCTAAGTGCTATTGCCAAGTGCTAACCTGTAGTAGGTGCTGAAAGGCAATGATTATTATGGGAGAGGAATAACCTTCGACCCAAATGACTCCAATGGGGCTGAGCGATCATCAGTCTCAAAATAACCATTTTTCAGCCAGCATTCATCAAAAGCCAAATTCATTTATTAGAAGGCCCAAATTCCCAAATTCTTCATCCTTTCAGGATTCTCTCCATCCTCCTGTCCCTTAAAGGTTTTCCTTGACATACGACCACAATGGAGCTCAAAATTTTGGTTGTTACGTGAGACATTTGTTAAGTGAGTTTCGCCCCATTTTATGACCTTTTCTTGCCACAGTTGTTAAGTGAATCACTACAGTTCCTAACTTAGTAACCCGGTAGTTAAGTGAACCTGGCTTCCCCATTGACTTTGCTTGTCAGACGGTCGTAAAAGGAGATCACATGACCTTGGGACACAGCAACGGTCATAAATATGAACCAGTTGCCAAGTGCCTGACTTTTGATCATCTGATCATGGGATGCTGTAAAGGTCATAACTGTGAAAAACAGTCATAAGACACTTTTTTCAGTGCCATCGTAACTTTGAATGGTCACTACATGAACTGCTGTAAGTCGAGGACTATCTGTAGTCCTCACTTAACAACCCGTGGCTTCAAAAGTGACCATTTGAAGTTACAATGGACCTCCACAGAAGGACTTTCGATTTGATTTCAAAGTTACGATGGCCGCTTCCCCCAGACAGTCACATGATCACTGTCAACTTAAAAAAGCACACCCTCCTTTGGTCTTTTTAGTTGCCAGCAGAAAGGGAGGGGGGAGGAGGGAAGCAGTGCATTCCTTAAATGCCTTAGATAATCGCCTTAGCAGCCCAAAGCAGTCAGCAGGCAAGAAATTTGCTGGAGAGCATGATTGATGACTCTTGGCTATGGATGTGTCCCATTGGAGAATGTACATCCAGGGGGTGGGGAGAAGACCAGGGTCAAGGGGGAAATGAATGATGTATTTCAGTGTTGGCTGCACCCAGCTAATGCCAACTTGGCCATTCCTAATAAAACATTTTTTTTTAACTCTGAGAGATGCGGCTAGAGACTTATAATTTGAACGGGGGTGGATTTGTTAGTGCCCTGACAATTGCACTTTGGATATGTGGCAACCGGCTCACATTTATGGCTGTTTGCAGCATCCTGCAGTCACACGACCAAGTTTTGGGGCAGTTTCCAGCATTTCTGGTTTCCAGCAAAAAATAATAATAATAAAGTCCATTGGAGAAAAATGGGTTTGTTCGACAAATTGCCAGGTTTGCTTAAAATCCGCTACAACAAAGTTGTAAAATCAGGCATAATTACAGGGTCATTATTACAGGTTCAGTTACAGTTGTAAGTCGAGGGCTGTCGTATTTTGGTTTTTCTGAGAAGACGGTCACATTTACTGGGCGTCGATAATTTTTATTTTCTAAGGCTGACTTTGCAGGTTTCCATGGAGCTGAAATACCGTTGGAAACAAAGCTAGATATTAGAGGCTGGGACCAGGTTTTACAGCACGCCGACTTCCCTTTTCATTCTGTTTCAGTCACTGCTAAGAAAGGAAATGGAAAAAGGAAAGCAAGCCATTTGGTTCCTGAACAGCAAGGGAAACAGGTGTGCTTCTCCTCAGGTGTACAGGCATTGCATTTATATCAGCTGGTTTACCTGCTTTGAATAGTAAAATGGAAAATGCTCCTGGTTTTTTTTTTAAAAGATGCCTCCTTCCATTTTTTTTTTCTGGGATGAAAATTAACTGGACTCTTTCAGGGGAGGCGGGAGGGGGAGTTCTGGGAGTTGAAGTCCCCATGTCTTGAAGTTGCCAAGTTTGAAAAATGAGGTTGCACACCTTGGTTTGTTTCAACATTCTTGTCCCAAAGACAACTAGACTTTCTTTGCTTTGCTCGAAGACCTTTCGCTTCTCATCCAAGAAGCTTCTTCGGCTCTGAATGAAGTCTGAACTGATAAACAACTCTCAGAAAGAGTGCTAACAACCAGATGACTGTAAGGAATATAAATCCTTCCATTCACCACCATTCAGTCAGAACTGAAGAAGCTTCTGGGAGGAGAAGCGAAATGTCTTCAAGCAAAGCAAAGATAGTCCAGTTGCCTTTTGAACAAGCATCTTTGGGACAACCATGACCTGGATGAGTGAGAATCTCCATAGACTTTCAACATTCTTCTTAGCGGTGTCTGTGAGTTCTGAATGGAAGGTAGGTAGATGTAGCACCAATTGAAGAGCATCTATGTAGCTCTGGGTTGAACTGTGGAGTCCTTGAGGCTTTCTGTCCTTTGTTGTTTGCTTGTAGATGTTTTGTTTCCTGACTTGATAAGATCTAATTACTTGGTTGGCAACATCTGTTATCTAATTGGGGAACAAAATGTCTACAAACGAACAACCAAGGATTCCACAGGTAGATGTAGTTCCACTAGAACTGACTATGGAGATTCTCCATCATCCAGGTCATACTTGTTCCAAAGGTGGTTATTCTAAAAAGCAGTGGGACTTTCTTGGTTTTCCACTTAACGTTTCGCTTCTCATCCAAGATGTTTCTTCAGTTCCGAAGTGATGAATAGCTGAAGAAGCTTCTTGGATGAGAAGCGAAACGTTAAAGATAAAACCAAGAAAGTCCAGTTGCCTTTTGGAAGAAACATCTTTGGGTTTGCTAGATCTGACATGCAAATATTCAAATGACCAATAGGTGGTAGCAAATTCTTATATATTTTTTTCTGTACCTCTTTGCTGCCATGTTTGCTTTTGGCTCACAGCTCTGGTAGTCCTAGGTCCATGATGGCGAACCTGTGTCACATGTGCCAGAAGTGGCACGCAGAGCCATCTCTCTGGGCACGCTAGCCATCGCCTGTTGCTCTTCTGTGTTCCAGCACGCCAGCCAGATGGTCTTCGTGCGCACAGGAGCACCAGAAACTGGAAGAGGAGCGCATGCGTGTGCCGGCCAGCTGGTCTTCGCACATGCACGCACATTAGAAACCAGAGGAGCAAGTGGATGGCGCATATGCACATGCCAGGAAGTTAAGCTTCTGGTTTCTGGCGCTCCTGCGTGCATGTGTCAAGGAGGCTGCTCTTCCGGTTTCCGGCGCCCGCGCAGATGGATCAACATGGCAAAAGAAGTTTTCATACTGCTGCCAGGACTTACAATCTTGGTCGGCCAAGGGTAGAATCCTTATTGATGCCACATGGATAGGATTGGTGTTGAGGCGTGAGAAGGGCAGGTTGCCAGGCGACAGGCCTTCCACTCTCAATATTGGAGACTGGAAAGTTAAAAAAAAGGGAATTAATGGATTTTACATTGTTTGTCTCTTGCATCTTGAACAGAGAAGAGATTATTCCAATCGTTTCTGCTGTTCTGGGTAGATAACTGTACTCAGCTGCTGAGAAGCTGCTTTTTAAAATATAAACAAAGTCCTTAAAGGCTTAAGAAATTATAGCTATAGTCATTTTTTGCAGTTCGTAATACCGTAGCTGGCTATAGAAGGAAACCTCGATTCTGCTTTTTTCTTTTCTTTTTTCTTTTTGGGCTTTTATTTTAATCCTTTGTAGTTTTAATTGGAGCAATCTGGATTTTGTTTTGAATGCTGCTGTTTTAGACTGTGATTGCATTTCTTCTTTTTTTAAAATAAAGTTTTATTTGGGTTTTCACACATACAAAATACAAGTAAAACATCTTTTTTGAAAATAGCATGGTCCCGGGTTGAACTTCTTCATATAGAAACAAAACTCAATTTTATGCTCCTTTTTGTGTTCTATTCCATATCTTATACTATTTTACATTTTCTATATAGTTTTTCCCCTCTTTTAATTTTCTCAATTTTATTTTGATTATCTCATCTCAATTCAAATAATTATATTTATACTTTTGTCTGTTCTGTTTCAATTTCATATTATCTTTTCTCATTAAACAAATTTTCTCCTGTAGTTACTAATTGGAGTATGACACCTTTATATCTTTTAATTACATCCATTCAACTCTTATTTAAACTTCAATATATACCTTAAGTTTATGACCTTCAATATAATACATAATACATAACTTCCAATCGAATTCTGCTTGGTACTTTCTCATAATACATACTATATTCTTTTTTTTAAAAAAAGAAAGATTGTAAATATATGTAATTATAAACCCTCATACCATTCCAGTTCAGTTCTATCATTAATAATCATTAAAATCTTAACATCTTTAACACTTCTTTTCAATTAAATATCATACTTCCTTAAAAACTCATATAATCTCCATAATTAATTTTCCCTTATTTCTCTTCACATATGTTTTATAAATCATTAAATATACCTTTTGTTACATTTATTTATTGACAAGCATTCCACTAAATTACGATAGCTATTTTATCAGACATTTTAATCATACATTGTTTCATATTTTCTAAAATTATTTCTGCTTTTAATATAACCATACTATCTTATGTACCTTTGCAGAATTCCTTTTTCCATTAAGTTTTCACCCATTATCTCTAAATAGGCCCCGTTTCTCTATATTTTGCTTCTGTCCTTTATAACTTCTTTTCCTTTCTTTCTTCCCTCTCATCTTCTCCCTCCCCTTTTTACTCCCTTGTCTCTCTAGTTCTAATTCTCTCTTCTACATTTCCCTCTTCTGTTGCTTTCTGATTTTATACTTATTTTTCACTCTATTTTTTTTTTTTTGGAGTTGTTTTTCCCAATCTTAAACTTTCCATTCTCTTTCCCCACTTTCCTTCCCCTCCCCATCTAAGATTACTTGTTCATTAAAGATGGCTTCTTCTTTGTTGCAATCTTCTTGTTCTGCAGGCATTTCTTGTTTTTTCTCATAATTCCAAATCTCCATTTCTAAAAACTGAAATACAAAGCCAAAAGAACATCTCCCTTCTTGTGCATCTTCTTTGTACTTTTTAAGTTCCATTTTCAGTTCTTCTAAAAGTGGAGCCATTTTAAACAGTTTTAAACAACCACCCGATTGATTTTAGTCATTCAAAACAATAACCAAGAATCCAGAAATCATCAAGTAATCCAGATAGTCCCGAGTTATATCTTCTTATTTCTTTTTCGACTTTCTCTTCCTGGGGTTTTTGTTGCAATATTTCAGTTAGAATATATCTTTTGGAAGTCTTGTTGAGATTTTGCTATAAATTCTTTTTTAATTCCAGGCAGTCTCCTCCCTTCCAGATCCTACCCTTTTATTCGTTTTCTCTCCTTTCCTGTTTTCAAAAGCTTTTAATTATCCAGAAATCTTTATTATCCCTTTGACTTTTTATTTTCAGCATGCCTATCTTGCTTAAGTCTCTTAGCTGTCAGTATAGGAAAAGGAGAAAACCAAATCTTTTCCCTTTTCTCTCTCCTTCGCAGCTTAAAAATCTTCTTACGGAACAATGTTATTGTTTTTTAACAGTTTCAATTCCAGGGTACCTTATCTGTTGCTTTTGCTGTTTGACCCGGTCAACCAAAACTTTCTCTTCTTATCTTCCTCCTGCACATTCTTTTCCGGTCGAGTTCTTCTTTGTGGTGGCCATTTCTGACCACCACTGCAACCGCCTTCGGGAAAGGGAGTAATGGCCAGCTGGGGAGGAGAGATGCGACTCTCCTCAACCCTGCTGGCAGTCTCCCCTCCTCTTCACCACCTCTACGGGGTGGCTTAGCCCCGAAACCATCCGGCTCGGGCGCTCCAGCGGTAAGCACGGATCGAAGCCTTGCAGAAACGAGGTTTCAGTCTGTTGCTGAACAAGCTCAAACCGGAAGGCCCCGCTGATTGCATTTCTTTGGTTGATTATTTATTTATTATATTTAATTCCCTTGCCCTGGGGGACTATAAGCCAGGCTCCTAATTCAGCTCCTTCACCACTGCCTCATATGAACTCATATCCTCATGAAAGAGGTATCAGGGTTCCAAGTAACAGACCCAAAGCAATCAAAACTCCGAGGCAGACATATTCCTCAAAGTATGAACTTATTAGGAACGTCATATTGGCACAGCTGGTTAAAAACCTGATTCTGAAGGACCAGAGGTTTTCCCCACCCAAATCAAAACCACAAAGTTCTTGCCCCCAGATCACACGTCTGTCACGTGGTCCAATCAGGTCGCAGCCCCAGCTCCGTCTGGTTTTGGTCCACGCCTCTCCAACACCTGGTTAGAACGTCCTTGGCTCCCATGGGAAAGAATGTTATTTTGGCTACATATTCCCCAGCTATCACTATCTCTCCCCTCATGTTTCCCACAGCTCCAACCCGCCTTGCTGTGGCAGGCCTGAAGATGCTCCCAAAATTGAATGGGTTCAGAGGTATTTCTCGAGAAAAGTACTCCACTCCTCCACTCACAATAGAATTCCCTATGCTTCCAGGCTCGAAATTTTGGGCCTGGACAATCTGAAACTGTGCCGCCTGTGGTCTGATCTATGCATAGAATTTTGAATTTTGGTCATGTGACCATAGGGATTTTGACAAACTGAATTTTGGTCATGTGACCATGGGGAAGCTGCAATGGTGGTAAGTATGAAAATCAGTCATAAGTCATTTTTCTCAGAGACGTTGTAGCTGTCACTGAACAAACTATTGTAAGTCAGACTACATGTGCCAATAAATGAGGGAATCAAAGAAGATAATAAGAAGGATAAGCATTAATATTACAGTCACACTATATGGATTAATATGCATAGACATTAGACATAACGTTATCTTAATGGTTACCATGGAAGTTTTAAATGGTCATGCGACATGAAGCCAAATCAGAATGAAAAAACAAACAAACTGTGATTCATACCAATGAATCCAAATGAATTGGGACAAAGGTCAGGATATTGCCAAGGCCATCAGATGTTTGGTTTAAAACGATGGAGTGAATAGGACCTCTTAGTCCATCAGAAACGACCAGACGCTGCATCTGGATACCTCTGGCTGCCTCCAGCATCTTTATGGAGATGGTATAGTTTGATCCTGAGAAAAATGTAGAAAGTTAGCAGAGCACTCCTCCAGAGGCCTGTCTCTTCCTCAATACTTCTGAAATATCCCAAAGGTGATTTTTTTCAAGAGGTAATGGGACTTTCTTGTTTTTTCTTTTGAAGAAGTTTTGCTTCTCATCCAAGAAGCTTCTTCAGCTCTGACTGGATGGTGGGGAATGGAAGGATTTATACTCCTTGCAAACAACCGGCCATTTTGTTAAGGTATTAGGAGTTAAGAGCTGACCAGCAATGAATAGCTGCTATATGCTGTGAAGCTGATATAAGTCTGGCTGATGTAACAAGAGTGATTCAGCAGAGTATGAGTATTTTCCCTTTAAGATCCCCTTAAGAGGTGTGTATATAAATGGCAGCCATTAGAGGGCGTGGTTCTCTTTCCTTGTGACCAGTATTCAACGCAGAAGTTCTCCATGTGTTAGGAAGAAGAAAAACTTGCTTGTAAAATTTTGCTACCACGTGTATATTGTCTATATATACTTGTATATTAAACCACTGTTAATATCTAAGTCTCTGTGTGCTATATGTTGTTCCTGGGTTATCTCATAAAGGTAGTCACACTGCCAAATGCTCTGACAATTTGCATACTTTTTAGAGAGTCTTTGAGGCCACTTGGAGTTTAATTTGTATGTCCTCAGGGTCCACCTGAGTAGTGCCAGCATCTCAAACTGAAGCGCAAATGGTTCCTGTAGTCTGTAATTTTTTTCTGGAAATCCATTCATACTCCAGCACCATTCGAAGAGTGTTCATCCTAAAGTGGACAGTTAAATGTCTATGGAGATTCTCAGTCATCCAGGTCATGGTTGTCCCAACTTACTTTTTCACTTTCTTGTTTTTCTTTGAAGACATTTCACTTCCCACCAGTGGTGGGATTCAAAAATGTTTACTACCAGTTCTGTGTGTGTGGCTTGGTGGGCGTGGTGTGGCTTGGTGGGTGTAGCAGGGGAAGGATGCTGCAAAATCCCCACTCCTGGGGAAAGGATACTGCAAAATTCCCATTCCCTTCTCACCCCACTAACCTGCTTTCTAGCTCCGTTCTGTGCAGGGGAACCAAAGAAGACCCAGCCGATCAGCTGGGACTCGGGAGGCAGAGAACAGATGGGGGGCGGGGCCAGTCAGAGGTGGGATTTGCCGGTTCTCCGAACTACTCAAAGTTTCCGCTACCGGTTCTCCAGAACTGGTCAGAACCTGCTGAATACCCACCTCTGCTTCTCACCCAAGAAACTTATTCAGCTCTGAATGGATAGTGGGGGACGGAAGGATTTATAGTCCTTTCAGAGAGTTGGTAATTTGCGTTCTTTTAGATCAGGAGTGTCAAACTCAATTTCATTGAAGGTCGCATCAGGGTTGTGTTTCATTTCGAGGGGGCAGGGGGGGCATGGCCAGCTCGACATCACTCGTGCCGGGGTCACTTGTGGTGGCTCAAGGGCTCTGCCAGAGAAAACAGGCTCCCGAGCTTCGTTTTTGGCTGCGATGGCCTCCTGCAACCCTCTGCCAGAGAAAACGAAGCTCAGGAGGGCTGTGTGTAACCCTCATGAGCTTTGTTTTCACTGGCAGAGGCACCGTGGGCCAGTCCTTTACTGTCTTCAGAGCAGCCCTGCAGGCCAGATCTAAGCACCCTGCAGGCCGGATCTGGCCCCTGGGGCCTTACGTTTGACACCCCCTGTGCTGGTTAGACAGTATATAGTTAGTTTAGGAATGAGAGCTGCCCCCTTAAGGGAATGCTTCATGGGAAATGTAGTTAATGCCTCTTGGGAGATGTAGTTCATGTCACGTGGTCACATCTTTAATCCTGATTGGTCACTGAATTGATCTCCGGTTGGGCTGGGGGAGTTTTGGGGGCATTCTTACCTGGACCACAGCATCGTGCTGGAGGCTTCCTTTGCTATAATACCATGGGATGAAGATAACCATCTTTTCACTTTCATGTTCCAGGCAAAACTTTTATGTCCCCAAAATTCCTGGAGCAAGCAGTCCAACACTATTGAGGTGACTATCAAGGCAAAGATTGGACTGTTAGTTAGATGGATCTCAGCATAAATGTGATTTATATTTTGAGGATGCCTAACAAAATCCAGTAAATGAACTTTGCATGGAAGCCTTTGTACTGTTGGACTGCTTGTCCCAGGAACTTTGGGGACATAAAAGTATTACCTGAGACATGAAACCCCTGTTTTAGAGAGTTGTGGAGGCCACCTTGGGACAACCATGAGCTGGATGATTGACAAGCTCCATAGTCATTTAGCTACACACTGAGAGCTTATGCACTGGAGGCAAATTCCTTGTGTGTGTCCAATCACACTTGGCCAATAAAGAATTCTGTTGACTAGAAAACTTACCTTTCACAGGCTGTCCTTGGATTGGAAGCATGTAGCCGTTCTGCTTTTGCATTATCTGGTAAGTAAAGCCAAGCAAACTCTTGCCTCTAATCTCTACCTCATAAGAGCCGCCGGGAGTCATAGATACAGCCCACCGACCTGGCTGAGGGAGAGGAGATACCTCCACGATCTTGTGATTGCTTGTGTCAATCATCATACGATACTTGGTGAATGGATCACCTATCGTGGAATATCAGACACAAAAAAAGGAAGGAATTATATTACAGGTGCTCCTCAACGTCCGACCACAATTGAGGTTGCTCCAAAATTTCTTGTTGCTAAGTGAGACGTCTGTGAAGCGAACTTTGCCCCCTTGTACGACTTTTCTTGCCGCAGTTGTTAAGCGAATCCCTGCAGTTGGTCAATTAGTCACACACGGTTGCTAAGTGAAACAGGTCTCCTCCCCCACCCCATTGATTTTGCTTGTCAGGTGGTCGCAAAAAGGGAATCGCTTGACCCCCTGGACACTGCAACCATCATAAGTATGAGTCAGTTTGCTAGGCGCCTGAATTTTGATCATGTGACCATGGGGATGCTGCAATGCTCCTAAGTGTGAAAAATGGTCACTTTTCTCAGTGACGTAGTAACTTTGAATGGTCACTAAATGAACTGAAGTCGAAGACTATCTGCAGAGGCTAAAATGGCCGGCATTATGGCTTCCTCCAATTCCGGGCATCCATGATTGTGCAACTGAAGCCCCCCCCTTTTTTACACATGTCCCACATCAGACAAGGGAAGATGTTTGTGTGACGACCCAGGGCATGGCACAAAGGCAACACAGTCAGATAATCAGTAGGAGTCCCTTTATTAGCTCCAACTTTGCCCCCAATGTCCTGGTTACCTTCCGGCTGGAGAAAACCTCCCCTAGGAACAACCTTTGACTGCAGAGGATCAAGTCCAAAACATGGTCAGCACAAACTGTAACTATAAATCCAATCAAGCCAAACTGAGGTAATTAGTTTGGCAGGGCAGGAGCAAGAATCCCAGACTTGCAGGCATTGCAATACTCACACGGTTGGGAGGACGTCAGGAACACAGATAAGCAAAGGCAACACAGGATAAAGTCACGTTTGCTCCCAGCAGCTGCCACAGTCAGCATTCAATTCTTTTAAACTTTCATTCCCAGGTGTGGCTAATGAAGGGAATCAGGGCCTTTTCCTCCCCCATAAGCCACGCAACCCACGTTGCTCTCTTCTCCGTTCCTCCCTGCGTGCCCTAGGATGAAGAGGGGGGTGGGCCTGGGTCTTCCTCTGGAATCCCTCTCCCTTGTTCTACCTCTTCCCTGCTCTGCCCAGCCGGACTTTGCCCTTCCCCAGTCTCCCCCACAGCCAACGGAGCCACACTCCCACTCCCTGTCACCTGTTCATCTTCCTCCTCAGATTCAGACTCTGACGGGGGTATGACAGTTTGCTTGCATTGTTGCAGCCTTGTGTGACCTTTTTATATACTCCCTTTTTGACTCTGTTCAATTACCTGAAGGTTGGAAGATATTAAAGTTGAATCTCTCGTGCCTTAAAGTCTTGACTGAGATTGATATTTTGGAGAGAGTTTCATCCACAGGGAAGGAGAACTGGGACCCATCCACACAGTTATGGGCTATTTTAACAGGAGCGGCGTTCATGGACAGCTCCACTGTGCCAAAGGCCTTAGAAAGTTGCTTTTTCTTCATGTTCAAGAAGTAGCCACCAGAAAAGGATGCTAAATCTTCATAGACTCTTTGAGAGGCTCTAGCGTTCCTCTTAACAACTTCTGCAAACAAAAATGAAATACACATTTCTCCTTTTAAGTAGCTCCTCCCGAGTTCACCCTTTAAGGCAAATCATTTTAGAAAAGTGCCCTTTTGTTCCTATACAGGTAGTCCTTGACTTACGACCACAGTGGAGCCCGAAAGGTATGTTGTTAAGCGAGATATTAGTGAAGTGAGTTTGGCCACATTCCTTAAGCGAATCACCACAATTGTTAAGTTAGTGTGTCGTGTAAGCATCTTTTGTGACCTTCTGACAAGCAAAGTCAGTGGGAAGGCAGAGTCACTTAATAAACATGTTACTAACTTAATCCCTGCAGTGATTCACTTAACAAACTCTGGCCCGAGCGGTCGTAAAAGGAGGCAAAATTCACTTAACCACTGTCTCACTCAGCAACAGAAATTTGGGGCTCAATTGTGGTCGTAAGTTGAGGACTACCTATATATGGTCCCTTGATCAATGAAATATGCCTACGGCCAGGGAGATTTGCATGTTTCTGAAATGCCATGGAAATTGACAAAACCACTCATAGCATCATGGCCCTAGCACAGTCCAATGAAGTGTTGAAGGGGCGGAGTTTGAATCATGTCCTCAGGACACGCCCTTCCTCATTTGCCCTTCCTTGCCCTCCTTCCTAGACTTATATACCGCGGTATACCTCTAAGCGGTTTTAGAGAGTCAGCATATTGCCCCCGACAATCTGGGTCCTCATTTTGCCAACCTCTGAAGGATGGAGGGCTGAGTCAACCTTGAGCCAGTGGAACCCGAGCTGCCAAACCGCTGGCAGCTGCTGATCAGCGGGAGTAGCCTGCAGCGCTTGCATTCTAACCACTGAGCCACCACGGGTTGGACTAGAAGACCTCCAAGGTCCCTTCCAACTCTGTTATTCTGTTCTGTTCTGTTCTATCTTTACTGCCCTCCCCACTAAGACTCATGGATGCCATTGGCAGCAAGGGCAACCTTTCTTCAGGTTGTTTCAGACCACCAGGGATTCTGGCTTACCATCTCGTACAAAAATGTTCTTTGCGGCTTCAGTGGCCATTTGTCCAGCTTCTTGGTGCAAATAGGAATGAGAAGAGAGGAGAAGGTCAGTTCCCTTTTTATGGCTTTCCCCAGGAGAGGAGGAAGCTTGGGTGGCATCATTTTTCCTGCCATGTCCACCTTTGCCTGAATGGGGAAAAAAAAGCATAACAAAAATGCACATTAAAAAAAAGGGCAGGGTTTTTCATTATGTAGTTGCAGTGGCTTCCCCCCCACCTCTTTTAAATTTATTGAAAACATTTATATAGCTGCCCAACTTACAACCAGCTCTGGGCGGTTCCCAGTCAAGAACGAAAAGACATTTAGAATTCTTTTGAAAACGATAGAAAACAACCAGTGAAGACATAAAACATGAAAGAGAACAAAAAACCTGGCAACAGCACATGCTAACGTGTCATTCTCTATTATTCCCCCACCTAACACCTGAGAGAAAAGCCAGGTCTTTAAAGCCTTAAGGAAAGTGCAAAGGGTGGAGATTAAAGGGCAAGGTGTTTCATCACGCAAAGGCTGCCGTGGAAAAGGCACACTTCCTATCTCCCATCAGATGACAATATTTAGGATAAGGGACGGAGTGTGCTTGCCCTATTTGACCTTGTAGAATAGGTTAGATGTTCTTAGGCAGGGGTCCCCAACCACTGGTCCCCAGACCGGTACTGGTCTGTGGATCATTTTTTACCGGGCCGCAAAGCTTGGGCGCCGCCATCTTGTTTCGACGGCGCTTCCGGGTTTTCGGTTGGAAAGCGGCGTTTGGGTGCTCGCGCCTTGGTTTCGACGAAGAGGAGGCGGCTTCGAACGAAGAGCCGTCCCGATGGCAGTGGAGTCTCGCGTTACTCAGGTACCGGTTCGTGGAAGAATAAATAATCGTGAAACCGGTCCCTGGTTCAAAAAAGGTTGGGGGCCACTGTTCTTAGGGATAGGATGGTCTGCACAGTGGTGAGATTCATTTTTTTTTTACTACCGGTGCTGTGGGCGTGGCTTGGTGGGCGTGGCAGGGGAAGGATGCTGTAAAATCTCCATTCCCACCCCACTCCAGAGGGAAGGTTACTGCAAAATCCCATTCCCTCCCCACCCCACTAACCTGCTTTCCAGCTCTGTTCTCCTCTGCAGAGCAACAAAAGAAGACCAGGGGCCAGTCAGAGGTGGCATTTGCCGGTTTCTCCGAACTACTCAAAATTTCCCCTACCGGTTCTCCAGAACTGGTCAGAACCTGCTGAATACCCACCTCTGGTTCTACAGATAATCTAGCCCAGTGCCTTGAAAGATTATGATTTGCACCCTGAATTGCACCTATCAAGAAACAGGGAGCTAGTGTAGTTCACACAACAGAGGTGTTATCTGGGCTGAGCTTTAGTGATTTGTACGCCTTCCTCAGTAGCAATTCTTAATAATACTTCATCATTCTGGGCCCTGCTGACGATGTGATCAAAGTATGTCCCAACGTCTGAAGACGTTTAAAGTTTAACTAAATGGAAAGAAATAGGCTCTGAGTAAGGTTGAGTTTTTGTTTCTATATCGAAGTTCCCTTTTGGTTCCAGTCTCAAAGGGTTCGCGCTTCCTCTTGTAGGAAGAAAAATCCATCTGGTTCGGTTCCAAGCTTGGAGAAAGGCGCTGGAAATAAAATGGAGGCTGACTGGAAAGAAAGTTTATTGGTGAAGCAGAACCACTAATGGCGTGTGGTTCTGGGGCAGCTGACCAATTGGTTGAATAAGTGGATGGATCTTTATAGGTTTCTGTGATGCTGCTGGGGGTTGTGCAATGTCTGAAAGGCCTCTAGGGGTTGTGCGATGTAGTGAGCTCTGTGTCTTTTGCTATTCTAATAGCGGTGGGTTAATCATATTATATCCTAAAAGATCATGTCCTATTCTTAGAATTTGGGTGGAGGAGAATGTAAATTTTTAAAATTTAAATTTAAATTTAAATCCCATTGCTGGAGGTGAAGGTCTTTTATTTGTGAGTAGGCTGGCCCAGGATTTTTAATGGGCACAAAATGAGTTATTAAGAGAGACTGGGGCGATTTTTATGTCTCTAAGAAGATGTTTCTCCATTTCTCCTTTTGGAAAATATAAAATTCTGCCTCCAATATTCCATATTCCCCAAAATATTTCATTCTCTGATGTGTGTGTGGGGGGTGGGGGGGTGGGGGGGCTTCCCACACTCTGAAACAGCAGATCCTGCATTCTGGATCAATTAAAGGTACCAGGTAGTCTTCAGGGACAGCCCCATGTAGAATGCATTGCAGTTATCCCCACAGGAGATGACCAAGGCATGAGTGACAGTGAGCAAGGCCTCCTGTGCAAAAGACCCCCTAGCCAGAGCTGCCAGGTACTTCTTGAGCAGGAAACTTGACTCCAGGAGATTTCCCCAAACTGATCTGGGGGAAGTCTTTCCCCACCCAGATTCAAAAGAAAGAATCATCTGGGCCTTGGGAGGGGCAAAACCCCAAACCACTCCATCTTGCCAGGATCAAATCTGTTAGAAATTCTGTTTATACTGTATATAGCAAACAAAGAGTACAGTCACCATGTGCTTTACTGATCAACCGTTTAAGAACAAAAGAGCACAGAGCCAAACTTGTAACACTGCCATCAATCGGCTGAATACTACCATAGTTGTCGCATGGAAATACATTCCAACAGAATCCAAGCTGGTTCCTCCTCAGCCAGACCTTATAATCTCCAGGCACTTGACCAGCAAGTCACCACATCACTTGTCTTGACTCTTGTGAACTCTTCTGCTTTTTTAAAAAAGTGAAAATACCCATTTTGTCACCTGAATTGGTATTTTGTTGCTGAATTTGGGGCCTCATCAACTTTTTCCCCAGCTAGAGTCAATCTCTTGAATGAGTATCAAATCAATCACAGGTCACGTTTTGGGAAAACTGCTATTTTTTTTTTACTTCGCTGCCTTCTCCAAAATCATTACAGATACAGGTAGGACAGCCACAGAAAAAGTGATTTATGACCGTTATAGCATCACTCCTGCAGTCACGTAGTTGCAATTACAATTACTGGTTGCAGCATCATGTAATCCATTAAATTAAATTCTACAAATTACGTACTTTTCTTATAATTCTGGACACTTTGCTGAGAGCTTAAACTTTTCAGACAGTACAACTGTTCTAATTATTTGGATTCTTTTTATTTGGAAACCTGTCTTTCTTTTCTTTAATAGGGCCACCTTTCTATATAAGAGATACTCCAGTGCTGTTAGCACAGCTGGTAGACCAGATCAGGAAATCAACAGAGGAAGGCTAAAACTATTTTCTATTGAAATTGACTATAATAACAGTATTTTACAAGTCTGATTGATCTCTTTTCTTTCTTACACTCCTGTGAGTGTAAGACAGGTGTCTGTCTAGGTCTCTGCTGAATATTATCTGTCTATTTGGGACCCGATATATTTTTCTCCTTCATCTCTTTGATAATGTAGTTTGTGTATCTCTCTCAAAGTCATCTTTTTTACTCTCTACATCTCTGTTAAAGTTGTCACGAATATAGAAAAAACAAAGAAATGGATCCCTAACAAATTTGCTCTTACCATATTTTTTTTTTTTTAAAAAAAGTTTCATTTCTTTGTTTGATTGTTGTGAGACATCAGGAGTTGTTAAGAATCAGGTGGCATGTAAGTTAATACATTCTTATTAATGTTTTTTTAAATTCTTTTCCTGGCTGGGATCCCCAGATCAATGGAAAGCATACAAACAACAGATGTTCCTCATGTTGGTTACACATAGAAAGGAGTACTCCATCTTCTCTAGCCAAAATGTACATCAAATGTGCACCTCACATCTCAAAAAACAATGAAAAATGACTGATTTCTTTTTCTAGAAGTGCAGCTCCAGAGAATGTTTGTGAGCAGAACGATTGACATGGAGGAAAAGGGAACCAAAAATTATAGAGTAAGTAAATGGTCATAAAGCCCCTATTGTTCCTGGCCAGATACTACAGACAAAAGAACTTCAAATATTGCAGCTGAAATAGCTGTTGCTAAGAAACACTTAAATCCTGGCAACCCAGAAGCTATAGGAAAATCTTAAATCCCTGACCAATAAATTCAGACCTCATGCTTTCCCTTAACACAAAAGCGTAATCATGAAATCTCAACTCTGAAGATACTTCAGCCTCCTCTAAATTAGAGTTTCATAACCTTGGCAATTTTAAGGTGTGTCCCTGGGGAATCCTGGGAGTTGAAATCCACCTCTCTTCAACTTGCCAAAGTTGAGAAACATCTATATTCTGTCATAAGTACCCTGTTTCTCCAACAATACGGCCTCCCCCAATAGGAAGTCCCAGCATGTTTTATAGGCATGAAATGAAATTAAGCTCCTCCCCCCAAATTAAGGCCTATATTAAAACATGCGAAATGGGGGGAATGGTGGGGGGGCTTGCTGTTAGGAAGTACTTTTGTTGCACACCCGGATATGGTGCTACCTGCGTTGACCCCGATACGAAGTGCCCCACCAACGCCGAGGTCAACATCCAAGCCGTCACCGCCCGCCCGAAGATGCAAGGGGGGGGGAATTAAGTCACCCCCGAAAAGACGGCCTAGCCATTTTTTCAGGGCTCAAAAACAAAACAAAAAAGACCCGGCCTTATTATATGAGAAACACGGTATAATATATCCAACCTCCCACCAGTCCATCTGTTCCCTGATCTCACTCGATCATAGCTATAGAGGCTAGTGAGAGATGTGGAAAGGAAGGTGCTGGCAGGTCGGTCCCTTGGATATGCCTGCTTGAATTCAAGCACATGGCAGCTGTAACAGATCTAAACAACTTACCTGAGCTTGGTTGCTTTCTTGCGGACATTGCATTATCCCGACTAGATGGGATAATGTGGACCAGTGGATTAGCACTGATGATGTTAACTTAGTTTGGATAATGAAACGTCTCCAAGAAAAACAAGCAAGCTCAGAGAGAGATGATGATTTGCACTGTCAGTCATAATTGTGGAGACATGCTCGGTGACAAAACTCGGTGACATTACCCGAATGTCTACAAAATATTAAATAAAATACGCCCATGACACCTTGTACAGGCTGAGTACACGTTTTTTTTTGATTTTGCTTATTTTCTGGAGGAAAAATATATTAAGGACAATGGCTCTGAAGTTTAGTAGTTAAAAATTAGGACGGGGAAATTTGTATCCCAGAAAAATTGATTTAATTTCATGTGACTTCTATGGCCTGTTGAGATATGACAACCAAGCTAACTCTTATTTGTTTTTCTATATAGAACAACTACTTGTATTGAACCGTGGTAGCTTAGTGGTTGGAGGGCAGTACTGCAGGCTACTTCTGCTGACTTCTGGCTGCCTGCAAATTGGCAGTTCAAATCTTAACAGGCTCAAGGTTGACTCAGCCTTCCATCCTTTCAAGGTGGGTAAAATGAGGACTCAAATTGTTCGGGGCAATAGGCTGACTCTGTAAACTGCTTAGAGAGGGCTGTAAAGCAAGATAAAGCGGTATATAAGTCTAAGTGCTATTGCAGCCTCCTCAGATGCATGGGGGAGATGCTCTTGGTCTGGCCCAGAACCAGAGAGAGAGAGAGAGAAGAGACAAAGTCGTGGGAGAAATGAGGAGAGACAATAAGAACTACAAAGATTGTTTTAGAAGGGAGTAGGAAGAGAGAAAAGGTGGAGAGTACTTGGGATATGAGTGTGTGGAACAGTTGGTTCTCCACTGGAGAAGAAAAATATATGGCGGTTTCTCTGAAGGAAGAGAAGCGAAATACCATAGAGATGATATTTTCATCCTAGATGGGACAGAGGGAGAAGGTGGCTATGATAGAAGGTCTTTAATAAAGCCCTAGTCTCTGGGAAGAAAGAATTGGCGGAAGACTCCCAAGAGAGGTTTTCTTTTCCCAATGGAGCAGATGCAGAAGAGGATCAGCTAAGCAGATCCAAGGAAAGGAGATGAGTAGTGCTGAGCATGCTCATTTGTAAATCCACCCTTTTTACTCTTTCTCGATAATCCTGGAAATGGAGATATAGTGAAGGGTGGGGAAGAAATGAAGCATTCAGGAGGAGAGTTAGAGGGGAATAGTCACCAGGATAGAGACCTAAGACCCTGGGTAGAAGTCAGGATTTTGTTGTTAATATCTATTGTAAATAGTTTTGCTGTATACAGTAAAGAAGGTCCATAAAAGCCTCCACTGTCTTGTCCCAAAGGTGCTTTTTTTTCAAGTGGCAACTGGACTTTCTAGTTTTCTTTGAAGACGTTTCACTTCTCACCCAAGAAGCTTCTTCAGCTCTGACTGGATGGAGGGGAATGGAAGGAAGACAGCTGGTCATTTGCACTCTTTTGGAGGGTCACTGAGGCCCCTTGGAGGTTTATCTGTCCTCAGGGTTGTCTGAATAGTGCAAGTGGGTGTGGAGCCTTCTGGGAACTGTTGAAAGGACTGTGTCTGAGATAGATGACTACTCAGATGACCCTGGGGACACAGATAAACCTCCAAGTGGCCTCAATGATTCTCTAAAAAGAATGCAAATGACCAGCTGTCTGCAAGAAGTATAAATCCTCCCATTCCCCACCATCCAGTCAGACCTGAAGAAGCTCCTTGGATGAAAAGCAAAACATCTTCAGAGAAAAACCAGAAAGTCCAGTTGCCTCTTGAAAAAAAAGCACCTTTGGGACAACCATGACCTGGATGACTGAGAATCTCCATAGTCCACCACTATCTTGGTTTCTCTGTGTCAGTTACCCTCTTGTAACTCTAATTACACCTCCCGTCCTAAAAAGAACCCAGTTGCACCATGGCAGGTGGAAACAATGGACCTTCTGACGTCATAGCAAGCTTCCTGTATTTTCACGATTTCACCATAGGGGAAATGGTGGAGGATCTATTTGAGCTTGGAGGGGAAAAGCAGGACGTATCCCATGAAGACCTTCCCACTCTCCCACCAGTTACCTTCAAAACGGGCTTGGAATGGTTCCGTCCCATTCGTCTCTTTAAGGGCTCCACCTTTCTTGAGATATTTTCCAGGCAGAGGGTTTTTCTCCACGACAGTCTGCCTCACCCTCTTTTCTGGGACATCGGCGTCGGTGAAAGCACTTGATGCCATGCCCTCCGATTCATGGCTGGGATAAAACCCGTTCACCAGCCCCACGCACAGGAGCAAAGGAAGCTCTCTGGCCAAGAGCATAGTTCGTGGCTTGATTTGGGTAGGCAGGACAAAAACTGAAAAAGAGGTTCCCTCCAGGTCTGCCTCACGACCTCTGTCTACCTGCCTTGGCTGTGGGAGTTTAATAGCTGAAGTTACAACCGGGGGGTGGGTGGGAGGTGGGGGAAATGAGCAGCTGTCAATTGTTCATCTTTTTTTTGTTTTTTTGTTTTCCATATTGAATCTGCCTCTCTAATGAAGTCAGCATCGTTACCCTCCAGCTGCAAAGAGGAACATGGCAAATTGAGTTTCTGACCAGTTGCCAGACTGGCATTTGCTCAAACTCCATGGGTTGCAGTGGGGGGAGTATGTGAGTCCTGTTTGTTTAGATCCGTGTTGCGTAACCCTTGGCCACTTTAAAGATGTGCGTGCTTCAACTTTGACAGGAAAGACCTTTCACAGTGTGTTTGTACTGAAAGCATTGGACACGTTGTCATTTCCTAAGTTTTTCTGGCACAAGAGCACAATGCAGCCTTCTGATAACAGAATAGTAAAAAAAAACAGAGTTGAAAGGGACCTTGGAGGTCTTCTAGTCCAACCCCACCCCCCCTGCCGAGGCAGGAAGCCCTACACCACTTCAGGCAAATGGTTATCCTACATCTTTTTTAAAACTTCCAGTTAGCTTGAACCCTTCCGAGTCGCCCTTTTAGAGTGTAGAAATCTAGATGGTCATAAGAATTATGCCACCTTATGCCACCAGATTTGAAATTCTAGAACTAGAAAACCTTGAATTACGCCGTCTTCGGTCTGATCTAAGTATGGTATATAAAATCATACATTGCAATGTCCTACCTGTCAATGAATCCTTCAGCTGCAACCATAACAACACAAGAGCACACAATAGATACAAACTCAAGGTAAACCGCACCAAACTTGATTGCAGGAAATACGACTTCAGCAACAGAGTGGTCAATGTCTGGAATACTCTACCTGACTCTGTGGTTTCTTCCCCAAACCCCAAAAACTTTAACCTTAGACTGTCTACTATTGACCTCACCCCTTTCCTAAGAGGTCTGTAGGGGGCGTGCATAAGCGCACCAACGTGCCTACCGCCCCTGTCCTATTGATTCTTTTATTTTTCTTATATGTACCCATTTCATGTATTCATAACTATGTATATACTTATACTTATTATCTTGTAAACAATTGACAAATCAAATAAATAAATAAATAAAAGAATGTCCCTGGCTCTACAAGTGATGCTGTCGAGGTTCTTAACCAGGGCCTGGAGTCTGTAAGGGTTTGGATGGGAGAGAACAGATTACAACTCACCCTGGCAAGATGAAGTTGACTCTGGGTCTTTGGGTTCCCTGGATCTGGTGATTATTATTTTTTTTCATCTTTACCTCTTTATGAGATAACATCCCCCAGAATGAATGGTGTACAATCTTGGGGTCCTCCTGGATTCATGGTTGCTGCTCAAAGAGAAGGTGGCCCAGAGGTGGTATTCAGCAGGTTCTGACCGATTCTGGAGAACCGGTAGCAGAACTTCTGAGTAGTTTGGAAAACCTGCAAATACCACCTCTGACTGGCCCCACCCCTGTCTATTCTCTGCCTCCCATTGAGTCCCAGCTGATCGGCTGGGTCTTCTTTGGTTGCCCTGAACAGGAGAACGGAGCTGGAAAGCAGGTTAGTGGGTGTGGGGAGGGAATGGGGATTTTGCAGTATATCCTTCCCCTGCCACGCCCACCAAGCCACACCAAGCAGAACCAGTAATAAAATTTTTTTGAATCACTGAGGTGGCTGCTGTAATCACGAGGGGCATTGAACAGATTCATCTTGTGCACTGGTTGTAATGTTTCTGCTCTACACAGTATCACTTCCTGATTGGATTACTTCAAGGCAATCTATATGGGGCTGCCCTTAAAGCAAGGGTTGCCAACCTTGTCTACCTCAGGGACCACCAAACTCTAATTTTAAATCCTGCGGATCAGAGACCCTGGGAAAATCCCCGAAAAAGTCTGCAGGACAATTCCCCATCCCATTTTCCTACCGATCGATCATTCTTTAATTTGGGATCGCAGGATACCGTCTCCAGCTCCATTCTCGGGGGGAGAGAGAGAGAGAGAGAGACTTTTGGCTTCATGCAAAGAAAGCAGCAGAAGAAGCAGAAGTCTTTCTTTCTCTCCCACAAACTCCACCAGAAATGAGTCTTTGCCAGCGCTGCCTCTTGGAGCAGGATGCCTTTCAGGGTCCCAATGACTCATTTCTGGCGGAGTTTGGGGGAGAGAAAGAAAGACTTTTGCTGCTTTCCTTGCGTGCAGCCAAAAGCAGAAGAAGAAAGAAGTGGAAAGAAGCAGCCCGGTGGCCAGGCCAGGCACATGGGGTGTGTGGGGCAAGTTCCCCCATCCATCCTTTCCCCCCTCCCTCCCTACCTCCTGATGTTCCCAATGCAAGCGATGCATACTTGGGTTCCCGCAGGCTATGTGGGTGTCACAGCCTTGTGTTCCTGCGCAGCCTGGATTAGTTGCTTTGGGGGGGTTGCTTTTGGGGTGACATTTCTCTGCGGACCACCAAAATTTTCTCGCAGACCACCAGTGGCCCCTGGCCCACTGGTTGGCAACCGCTGCCTTAAAGAACATTTCAAAGGTGCAGAATGTGGCTCGGTGTTTATTTTTGGGTGCTCCAAAGTTTGCTTATTTATGGAATGTACTGTATTTGCCACCCATAGCACAACCTCCTTAAAGCATTAAAAATATTAAAATCTACAATCATATAACACAGCGAATAAAACCATTAACAAATAAAATCCATTAACATCAGATGGGAAAGGAAGGAGCTGGACACCCGGGGTGGGGTGAGGAGGTGGGTTAAGTTTTAATTAGTAACCATTTTGTAGAAAGTTAGCGGCCACCCCTCTCCTAGAAGAATTAAATATTTTGAGAAATGTTAAAAAGGCTAAAATATTTCCCCTAAGGGAGACAGAAAGACAGAGCTCCAGCTGCCTGCCCCCAGCAGATATTTGGTGCCCATTAAGAAAGACTGGGCCAGCCTATCTACAAGACAAAAGACCTCTAGCTGCAGTCTGATGGGATTATGACATGACCCTCCAGGACATAATAGGATTAATCCATCTAGCAGCAGAGCTCATCACATGGAACAATCTAAGGACATTGCATCACCCAGCAAACTTCAACCAAACCTGGGATCTCAGACAACCTCTGAGCTCCCAGGTTTGACCTCTGCATAGCCCCGTGGGAGTCTGACAGCAACCAATAGAATACATGTTCTTGCACAGGAACAGTGTCAGCGTTCCAGAGATTATCCATTCCAGCCAGTAACTCCAAATCAACCATAATCTCAAAGTACTTTTATTAGAATAGAAACTTGATACCTGTGTGGAATTCCAAAACTAAAGTTTCCCCCCAGATTTATTTATTTATTTTTATTTATTGATTTGATTTGTCAATCGCTTACAAGATAATAGATATCAGTATAAACATAATTATGAATACATGAAATGGATACATATAAGAAAAAACAAAAAACAATAGGACAGGGACGGTAGGCACGATTGGTGCGCTTATGCACATCCCCTACAGGCCTCTTAGGAAGGGGGTGAGGTCAATAGCAGACAGTCTAAGGTTAAAGTTTTTGGGGTTTGGGGAAGAAACCACAGAGTCAGGTAGAATATTCCAGACATTGACCACTCTGTTGCTGAAGTCGTATTTCCTGCAATCAAGTTTGGTGCAGTTTACCTTGAGTTTGTATCTACTGTGTGCTCTTGTATTGTTATGGTTGAAGCTGAAGTATTCATCGACAGGTAGGACATTGTAATGTATGATTTTATATACTGTACTTAGATCGGACCGAAGGCGGCGTAGTTGTAGGTTTTCTAGGTCTAGAAGAAATTTCAAGTCTGGTGGCGTGAGGTATTCTGCAACGAGTAGAGGAGTGGAGAACTCTTCTTGTGAAATATTTCTGGACTTTCTCAACTGTGTTAATATCAGATACGTAATGCGGATTCCAGACTGATGAGCTGTACTCAAGTATTAGTCTAGCAAATGTTTTTCCCACAAGGTACCAACCTACAAACCATTCCCTTTTCCCCACATCATACATCACGTGAACCAATCCCCCTTCAGTCCCAATTCTTCCTGCGCCATTCATAATGATCTTGAATTACTAAAGAATTGATTTTGTCTATTGAGAGCTACTCAGATAATATCAGCCCTGTTAGGAATATAAGTCACCTAACAGGTATTTGGGTTAGAAATATATAAACCAGGATAAACATTTTAGTACTGTAACTTTAAGAAAATGCAAAACTGTAATTAGGTGTGGTTTCTCAAACGGCCATAAGATGGAGCCAGAAACCTGGTTTGTCTTAGTCTGAGTCTCAGAAGAGACTAAGTGTATCTCTGTTTCCTTCTGTTGGAAAGTATTGCCGTTGTTCCATTTCTTCTAATTGACTGATATTACTGGATTTAATGTAAGTCTGATACTGAACTGTTTTTGACACTGGAATTTGATATTTGGATTATCCCTGGATGAAAACTGACTGATTTACCTGTGAATGACTTTTGGACTGCTTATTTTGGACTTTGCTTAAACCTTTCTGGAAGTAAAAACTTACATTTACTGTACAGTGTATCTGTGTGCTCTGTGTGTATTATTTAAACACTACTCTCTATACATCTCCCTGTAAGCGCTCATTCTCCTAAAGGGGAATTACCTCAACAAGCCCCGTCCAATCCTCCGCAGCTGTGTGGCAGCTTTTAATAATGATTCCAAAGCTGACAAACAGGAAGCTCAAGTTCAAAGCCCGAGCGAAGGTATAAATATCCTCCACTCGCAACTCCATGTAGTCAGCTACCCAGAACCATCTGCTTGGCGGTTCCGCTTCATCAATAAACCATCTTTCCAATCAGCCTCCATGTTTCCAGTGCTTTTTTCCCAGCTTGGAACTGAACCAGATGTATATTTGTTCCAGCAATCTCCAGTATGAAATTGCCCCATTGGGTCCCCAATCTGTCACTGATGGAATTGCTATGTAGTAAAGCTGACGGAGGTAGCAAAAATGGCGAAAATGTTTAATTAGAGAAAAGATTTTATCTAGCTTTGTTTCTGTGTGGAAACCTCTTTTGGAAGTTTTCTTGAAACTGAAAAAAAATGAAAATTTGATTTTAGGTTTTGATGATTAAAATAATTTTGTTATTATAGGTTTAGCTTGAAAAGTGAAATGTGAAGCAAAAGGTTGACGTGTTTTTATTTTTATTTTACTTGCACTGAAAAGAATCAGAGGTCACCACTTTTTCCCCTTTTCTCTGTTTGCACTTTTTCTTTCTCTTAGCTTTCTAGCTTTTGTTTTTTTCTGTGTTTTTATTTTTAATGCAACTTAATAAAAATTATATACAAAGAAACAATTTGCTATGCAGTACCTGGGCATTTTGTTTTGTATTGGGTTACTTTAGTTGATGATCATTTTTAATATATTTTTTCTACAGATTGTTCACCATCCAGAATTGCTTGTTTAAGGTGGGAGACTGTATAGATTTTCTAAATAGAATAAAATAAATAAATAAAAACTCTCCACAGACACAAGTGCTTCTGAAGTTAGTTTTATTTGGATCCACCAGAGACTTGGGGCAAGGGTACTAACATTTTTTATTATCTCAGTGTGAGGCACATCCAGGGACCAGAAATACAATCCATTTTGTGTCAGGACATTCCTTCAATGTACGTCATCTCTATGGAGTAAAAGTGAACGAAGGAATTGGTGCGAGAAATGTAAGCTATTTTTCATCATCTCCCTTCCCCAGATCTTATCCATAAGGCTATCAGAAAAATTAGCAACCCTGGCTTTCTGGCTAACAACTGTTATTGTTTTGTTTTATTTTTTATTTTTTTAAATACAGCATTTCTCAATGTTGGCAACTTGAAGATGTGGCTGGCTGGGGAATTCTGGGAGTTGAAGCCCACATGTCTTAAGGTTTGAATTCTAGTGCCGAGAAGGGCCAATGGGAGAAGATGCACCTGTTGGATTTTACACTGGCCACAAGCTGTTCAAGAGGAAGTCTATTGCTTTGTGGGGTCTTAATCCTTTTTCTCTGACTTTGGAAATTCTCTGTTTGGTGGACTGGTGTGACAACAAAGCAAAACTACAATGTGGCTGCAGATGGCCTTTAAAGTTGTGTTGTATTCTCCTTAGGAGCGCTCACAAAGTCTATTCCAGCAAATCTATCACTTTTCTGCATGTGATATTGCAAAGTGCATAGAAAATGGGCGGTGCTTGTGTTGTGCTGTCACACTGCTTGTGTTACTCTCTCATTGTCCCCCTGGATCTATCTTAACTCTCTTTGGTATAAACAGGAGGGAAGGAAGGAGGCATAGAGGAAAAATGCCACCAGGCTTCCAAGATTCCTTACTTGCCGTGTCCTGCAGAGGTGGTATTCAGCAGGTTCTGACCAGTTCTGGAGAACCGGTAGCAGAAATTTTGAGTAGTTCGGAGAACTGGCAAATACCACCTTTGACTGGAGATTTTACAGTATCCTTCCCCTGCCACGCCCACCAAGCCACGCCCACAGAACCGCTAGTAAAAAAAATTTGAATCCCACCACTGGTGTCCTGTATTAGTTTTTCTCAACCTCAGCAATTTTAAGATGCATCAGGGAATTCTGGGAGTTGAAGTCCACACATCTGAAAGTTGCCGAGGTTGAAAAACACCGCTCAGTATCAGGGGTGTCAAACTTGATTTCATTGAGGGCCACATCAAGGTTGTGTTTTGACCGTGGGATGTATGTGTGTGTGGTCGTTGATGGGGGGTGTGGCCAGCTCGACATCACTTGTGTTGGGGGTGCTTGTGGCGGCCCGATTGCTTTGCCAGAGAAAACGGGCTCCTGAGCTCCATTTTCCGGTGTGACTGACTCCTGTAACCCTCTGCCAGCAAAAACGGCGCTCGAGGGGGCTCCTCTCCCGAGCTCCATTTTTTCTGGCAAGGGTACTGCATGCTATTTCCAGGACGGCCAGATCTAAGCATCTTGCAGGCCGGATCTGGCCCCCAGGTCTTGAGTTTGATACCCCTGCTCTATATCAATAAAACGGGCTCCAGAATTTCTGGTGCAGTCTATTCTCTCCTTAAGGGGCTGATAAATACAACTTCCAGATTCATAGGTGACATTATTTAAAAGAATTTTTTTTAAAAATTGCTGTTGTTATTTACACACAGTGTTCCAAATAGTTCTAACTGGATCCAGTACTTTTGGCTATTAGGTCCTTCCTAAAATCTGGGACCCATCATTGCCACAGAATTGAAATTTGGCAAATTTTATAAAAGCATTTTAGGACATCCAAATGACCATAAAGCATTTTGTGACAAATTACAAAATGTCATGAAAGATTTCCTGCGGCCAACTGGTGACGTTTGACTGTGCTATACAAGAGAGGTGCCCATTGGCCGGGCCGCAGGCTGGTACCAGTTTGTGGATCGTTAGGAACCGGGCCTCACAAGCAAGTGAAGCTTCATCTCCATGTGTGCGAGATCTAGGTAGTTTGTGAAACCACACACATACCATTAGTCTGTGGAAAAATTGTTTTCCACAGAACTGGTTCCTTGCATCCAAAAGGTTAGGACCCACTGCTATACGTTTCAACACTGGCTATTTTCAAGGCAGATACATCCCTAAAATTTTAAGAACATTTGTAATGAAAGCAGCAGTGCATTAAGTGCCAGAGAAATCAGAAAATCCAGGCAGTTCAAATGAGTATAAAGGTTTATTGCTCGCTACAAGAATCTGAACTACTAACAGTCAAAGCAAATTGGCGGTAGATGTCAAAGGAATTCAAGGATTTCTGGATTTAGATTTCTTATGATTGCGAAAGGATTCATGACTGATGACACATTTGACACCCCCCCCCCACACCCCCAGGCTCAGCCAGGTCATCTCCTACACCTGCCATTGTTGATGGCATTGAAGAATCTGGCAAGAAAACATCTCTTTATCTACGAGCCAGGCTCATGGGTTGTCTAGTTTGGACTAAAGAGAAAGGTAACGTGCTTTAGTGAATGAGTTGGCAGCTTCAGATGTTTAACTCACTAGCTTGGAGGAGGATTAGGGTTTCTGTAGTCCATCGTGAAACTGCTCGTGTTCCCGTCTTCATCACTGATCAAAACTTCTGCTAAAGGATCGCAGCAGGTTGACCTATGGA